CCCCATTGGTAAAACTTCTCATCAAGCGTTTTGAAAATCGGTCAGTTGTTTTTAAAGTTGAAACGTGGGGAGGGGTCACGGTCCGTGTCTCAGACCGTACTCAGCATTTGGAATGAAATCTTTGTCAACAGACTTCGTCCCACTAATGACGCCTTGTACCTCACAGATTCCTACAGATGTTCATTGTATTGTAACGAAACATTAATTTCCAAAAGGAAACCATGTAAGGTAATCAAAGCCTCTTTGCCAGAGAGCACGCAAAGCTAATAAAGAAGTCATTACATTGTTCCATATATCGAACAGGTATATGGAGTATGGATCATTTGGTACTATTCTTTACAACTCTACCAGAAAGCGTGATCTGGTAAAACATGGCGATGGTCCTTTACTGTGGTAATGGAGCGTACATGGGAATTTATTTTAGTTCGGAAAGCGATTATGTGAAGGTGGAGTGAACTGGACAAGGCTTACCTTTCTTCATGGATTCAGTGACCTCTTACCGTCTTCAAAAACTACTTTTCCTCTCCTTGCCTTCGCTGTCCTGGAGCCTACTGAACCTCTGGAGTCGAAGCCAGTCTAAATAATATTTAAGAATTTAGTCCGTACCGCGAAGTAAACACGACTCTTCACCATTAAAAAGATCAACTGTTTAACATTTTGAAGTCAAAGCTCGTCTAAATATTACGTATTTAAGAATTCAGACCGTACCGCGAAGTAAACACAACCCTTCACCATTGCAAAGATCGACTGGTTAACGCTGTTTAAGAAAATAATTGCTGATATTGTGTTTATATACAAATATGTTTCTGTAAATTTCTTGTCGACGTGTCTGTCAGCTGTTAGAATCGAACGTGGGAATGTTCCGCCCGTATTTTTCTCGTATCCGCGGTCACATGATTATAACTCCTTGGACCAGAGTCCTTCCTGAGAAGCTGATAGATCTTCAGCCAGTTAAGAAATTCCCAACTTTTTATGAAAACGAAATGTTCATCACCGTGTTCACAAGACCTACACCAGAAATTTTCATATAAATACAATATTAATTTTGTATGTACAGTATTCCACTTCAGAAAATAATACGTAAATACATATTTTAAATATATTTCCCAAATTTCAGGTGCACATAGAATAATCATAGAAACTTATCGAAAAGGAACCACTTCTGTCATGTACACTCTCGAAGTGTGTTTGTTGCCAGCCTTTGTGTTCTTCGCTTTGTCGGGTAACAGAAAAGGTTCATTTACAATTTGTCAAGGAGCGTGGTTTGATGTCATGTCCACGTAACGGGACATGAACGTGTTTGTGGGTCCCGGACACCTAGCAGCCACGTGACTCCCTCAGTTTCTACCGCCTACAACAGTCGATACTCCGTGGTCGAACCTCGTTTCGTATAAAACACATTTTTAATACGACGAAATGTTTTAATTATTAAGACAGGATTAGTTGCTACACAAATTGAACCCAGCCAGAAAACACGGAGAATTTTTTTTAAAAAACTATAAATTTTAAAAATTATTTTGTTTATATTAAATGTTAATATAACAGTTATTTAAGTATAAAAGTATCCCATAACTAACAATAATCGAGCAATGTAGAATCATCGAGGCTATAATTAATAATAAAATAAATTAAAAGACTTTTTAAATTAAAACAGCTGTATTTAAGGGCATTAAAACGTTTTTGACGTCCTAAAATAAGCGTCTGAATTTTAACGCTGCAAAGCGAATTGTCTACACCCTCTTCGTATGCTTTATGTGTTCTCAAATTTATCTTCATTATAGCTCATTACAGCCTTGATTTTGAATCCCACTTTACTGGGTTACTGTCTCCTGATGAAATGTTCGGTCACTTACATTTTAACACCTCATGTCACCCATCAAAAGCTATGGAATTCCTACATTCTGCACGGACATCAGTATCTTAATCGCGTAGAATGTGTCTCTGTCCGCTCATTATATTCGCCGTCACACAGATTTCTTGTTTCGAGTTCACGTCAGAATTGTACAACGTGGACAGAGACCAGGCGAGTGACGACAGCTCAGAACTCGCAGCGTAGCTTTGATAGCAACGCTCTACAGGTGGTTTAGAGCAGCGCGGTTAATGTGGGTTGTAGTCCTTCCGTGGCCTTGAAGCTTTATAATTTTAATATTTATGTTAGTTCATAATTTTGGATATTATGATCATTTTATACATTTTAAAAAATTGATGCTTTAATCGATTGAATGATTTTGATTAAACAGGTGGTACATATACTTACCATTAGGCTTTAAATGTTTGTATAGCGGTTTGTCTAGCGGTTAGAACGCTGGCCTTGTAATCCTGGTGTCTCGGGTTCGATTCCCGGCGGTGCCCGAATTTATAACTTGTGTTGGGCAAGGCCGTGGTCTAGGCAACACGGAGTTTTCCTCCGTGGCATCCCAACAATTACTCCATTCTCACACAGAAGAAGGCAATGGCAAACTACTTCTGGATCATCTGCCAAGAACGTATATGAACAGGTCCCAGTCCGAGAAGAGAAAAGGATGGAAGGATCCTGTTCATATGGACCTGTCGTCAGACAGAACACTAAGTAATAATAATAATTTAAATTATATTTCAAAACTATCACTTGGAGATTAACCCATCCTGTTCAACGCAGATTTCATGACTCGGGTAGAAATAAACAAAGGCTCAAGGCATTGACGGACTGGGATCTCTGCATTGTAAGAAAACCGACATCGCGTTCCTAGTAAATGATCCTGAAATGACGTAAAATAGATAGCCTTTTGTTACGAAGTCGGTGCGTAGAGAATGTGGTTTTTTGCAGACCGTAGTTTAAACGTCGCGTATAGCAGTTCAATGTTTACGATCTTGGCCTAGAAGAAAATTGTGTTGAAGTGGTTGAGTAATTGATGTCTTGAAACAAATAAGAACACGTGGATGTCCAATCTTATGCAGGGCTTCGAATGCGATGGTTTACTGTAGTAACTTTACGATGGAACAGAAACCACGCCGTGCAGTTTGTTAATGGTTCTAGTAAAGGACGGGATCAGTAAGCTCAGTGTTTAATTACTGTGTGCACCACATAATTTAAGACCCAGTAACTCTTAGCTTTGCTAACAAACTGTGTTTACGAGCCTATAATATTACTTTTGGAGTAAGAAACTGCTGTTTCCTTAAACAGCATTCAGTACTTGGTCATTTTAATGGTGAGGACTTGTCTCTCCTTTGAGGTAAGGGCTAATTAAAGTCATGGCTCACAGTCGTTTGTTCTGTGGCTTTCGTGGAACCAAAGTTTCATTAGTCTCTTCAAGTCAAATATTCTTGTCCTGAGGTACTCAACTCCCGCCTTAATTCCTTAAGGTACATTTTATATTATCTTTCGATTTACCCTTAGGTCTTCCAAGTGACCACTTGCCTGAGCCATTGTTGGAACACATTGTTGCTATAGTGGAATCCGATGTTATTGCTGGAACACATTGTTGCTATAGTGAAATCTGAGGTTATTGTTGGATCACATTGTTGATATAGTGGAATCCGATGTTATTGTTGGAACACATTGTTGCTATAGTGGAATCCGAGGTTATTGTTGGAACACATTGTTGCTATAGTGGAATCCGAGGTTATTGTTGGAACACATTGTTGCTATAGTGGAATCCGAGGTTATTGTTGGAACACATTGTTGCTATAGTGAAATCTGAGGTTATTGTTGGAACACACAGGTTGAAGACAAAAGTCGAATGAGAAGATATGAAATGAGATTTCTTGAGATCCGTTTTGGGAGTTTCGCTAAGAGATAAAATGAGAGATGAAGATGAACACAGAAGTGATGCTGTAAAAAATACGAGGTCAGCAAAATAAGTGGCGTAATGCATCCTGAACGTCTGGCGAAGCAGACAAATTCTTATCAGACTGCTGGAAGACGGGACATTGGGCGTCCAAGTAGTAGATGCAGGCAATTTCTTCAGTTACGGAACTGATCAACGAACTCAGTCTTTGGATGGCAAGGAGGCATTGGGACCGGGGTTATTGTTGGATAGAAAAAGATGACACTGGACACTTGTTGTATTGTTACCCTTTTTGAGGGAGAGTTGTATAAGTCTACAGATCTTCTAAGCAACGTGACGTCACGGCCTGTACTAGCCCTGAAGTTCGTCTGCCGAGCATTCAAATTTAGAATCGCACTTCGCTGTTTCAGACACTGCTCAAAGTCAGGTCCCATGGTGCTGAAACTCAGAGGGACTGCAGCAGTCGCCATCTTGCGGGCCTTTGTTCAATATCTGCTCATGCTTAATCATTCTTAAGTCTTAATTCAGAGTGAAAGGACGTCAAAGCAATTTTTACGGGGTCCTTCAAGTGACTCGGACAACTCGTCGAGAGCCTAGGCCTACTTTCGCGCGATCGGGTGTCAATTTCCGATCGTGTTACCGACTATTGACTCTTGGGCTACTCAACGACACCGTTTCATATGCACTGTCATCTATAGGCTTAATCTAAAAGAATAATATATGTGGTAGGGATATGGAAGGACGCGATCGTTGCCGATTCGTATGGAGAGACTGTGAAAGACCGACAGCAGATTCGAACCGGTAACCTCTCAAATTCTTACTTATCTGCAGACCACACCCTGTATTATATATTGATCTGTTACTGAAGTATTTTATCTACCGCCTACGCTGAAGTTGAGCAGAGATTTATTTATAATTTCTAAAATAATCAGCTACATGTTTCGACAGGTTTTATTATATCTTCTTTACGATGTGTTTATGTCCAAAGTAAATACAATTGTGTTTCCCATAGACCCCGAGTGCCAGAAATAGATCCATTAACAGTTGTACCAATGTAAAGAAAACTAACATTGCATTCAGTTTTCACGAGATGAAAAAAACCCAAATAATAAAAGTGACGTCGGTGTCTCTAAACGCATCTTGAAGACGTGTGGGGGAAGTGGAGGTCATCACAACGTCCTTGATCTCGGCATAGATAAATGAGTGATCAGCTTCACGCTCTGGCCGCTTTAACTTCCGTGAAAGCCCCCGCGGTGATAGTTGGGTAGAAATTGATTTTGTCTGTGTTTGTGTGACAAGAATTTGAGTGAACGATTTTGATGACCTGTCCAGTCTATCGTGTTACTTGTGTGTGGAAGATTTCGGTATGAAGTTTTCCAGGTAAGAAGTATGTGTGGTTTTGGAATCGTACCGCTGGTCCATCAGTGACAGATTGAGTTAACTCGTCTTGTCTTGTTCTGCGTCAGTGTGAACTCGGCGTCGCTTGAACAGACGTCGAGTAATGCTATAACCGTGGTACTGTATCTGATGATGAAAACGGACACCTCATGTCATGTCGGAGTTCACTTCGTTTGTTCTACATCGTGAATGATCAGAGCGCTGAAGAAGGGTGGTCCACGGGGGCCAAAGCTCAGGATCTAGGACAAATTTACCATCCGGTAAACAGGCACGCAACAGTATAGTAACTACCCCCCTTTTTTTGAAGTCGGTTTTGTCCAACGCGGATTCTGTTATACGCGTGGAAATAAATGGGAAGTTTTCTGCTGAAAGTGTAAGTTCCGATTACACGCGGTCTGACTTACACGATGTAGTTATTATTTAGTGTTCTGTCTGACGACAGGTCCATATGAACAGGATCCTTCGATCCTTTTCTCGGACTGGGACCTGTTCATATACGTTCTTGGCAGATGATCCAGAAGTGGTTTGCCATTGCCTTCTTCTGTGTGTGAATGGAGTAATTGTTGGGATGCCACGGAGAAAACTCAGTGTTGCCTAGACCACGGCCTTGCCCAACAAAAGTTATAAATTCGAACCCGAGACCCCAGGATTACAAGGCCAGCCTTCTAACCGCTAGACCACCTCATCTTATTATTATTTAGTGTTCTGTCTGACGACAGGTCCATATGAACAGGATCATTCCATCCTTTTCTCGGACTGGGACCTGTTCATACACGTTCTTGGCAGATGATCCAGAAGCGGTTTGCCATTGCCTTCTTCTGTGACTTAAGTATTTGTAAAATAAACTTCTTTTATTTTATTCATTCCATTTCTTCCCACCTCGTCTTCCGCCCCCCTCTTATGAACGTGCGTGTTCAGCGAATGATAAGATATTCGAAGTCAAGACCCACGTCTTGGAGCACGCCTTTGCCAAATGAATTATCATTCGTTGAAGTTTAACGGTGATACTTGAAACGGACGGGACACGTGGGGGCTAAGGCGAAACATGAAGACATTTTACTTGAAAAAAAAAAAACTTAAGGTAAGACAGTACTTCGAATACGTACGTGCAGATGGAAGGATAATATTAAAACGTATCTTGAAGAAATGGTGCGTGAAAGTCGGATTGGATTCATCTGGCTGAAGGTCGCAACCTCTGACCAGCCGGAAGAGAGACAGCACTGAATATTCAGGTTCCATAGAAGGAACACAATTTGTTGGCAAGTTATGCTCTGAAGATGGAGTCAGTATGTTCCCCCGAAGACTTGGTATTCGTCTACAGATCTTCACAGTGTCACAGCTCAGAACAAGGCCACGGATATTTTGCGAGATTTTCAGATTTCTCGATCTAGATTTGCGAGTGGCAAATTCAATCATCACTTGTTTTGGACGTTCGAAATTCTGACGGTCAGGCATGACATCGATATTACGCCTTCATTTATGTTTTTTTTAAAATAACTTATAATGTAGCTATATATTATAAATCTGTACTCCTCCTCCAATATTGTCAGGGCGATTAAGTCGAGAAGAATGAGATGGGCTGGGCATGTAGCGCGCGTGGATGGGGCAAGAGGTGTGCACCGGGTACTGGTTGGGAAGCCTGAGGGGAAGAGACCCCTGGGGAGACCTAGACGTAGATGGGAGGATAATCTCAGGCGGGATCTATGGGAGATAGGAGTTGAAGGAGACTGGATTTTGTTGGCCCAGGACAGGGTCCGGTGGAGGGCTTTGGTTAGTTCGGTGATGAACCTTCGGGTTCCATAAGCCATCTAGTTAGTTATCTAGTTTATAAATCCCGATCAGTTTAAGAAAATGTAAATTACAGTAATAACACGCACTGTCGATGCATCGATGGCTTTGTTCGCAGTGCCTGTTCAGTTTAATTGATTTTTTAAATCGCTTGTTTAATTTCGTAAAAGTATAAACTCTCATTGTCGCCCTCACAAGTAAAACTCTGTAACTATTCAAAATTGAAGTAATAAGATTCCCATCCTAGTATTTAAAATTCGTAACTGGACTCTTGGAAAACCATTTAATTTTCTTTAAAATTCTTCGATATATTTTTTTTGGTTAACATAAATATTGTTTTTCTAAAAAAAAAGTGATTCTGTAAACTTTCTAAAATGTTACGTACTTTGCTCAGGCCGTTCTGAATTTTTCAGACTGATATATATCGATCGTTAACGACATTTCTCTATTTAAATCGATTATGGTATGACTACATATAAAAGTTATCTGAAAGCATAGCAAAAATGAAAGGGAATCATGAGTGTTGGTTTTGTTACGATAAATCCTTGTGTAGATCTGAATGTGTGTTTATTATCAGTATAATAATCGTCACAGCATTTCACTTTGTTCCAATAGACGTTTCATTCTGACAAAGCAAAGTCATTAGACATCCAATTGGGTGTTACGAGGTGCGGCTATGAGCCTTGTGGGTTTCAAGGCGCTGGAATTTTTCTGGGTTTTGATGCCGTGTAATCTTGCGTGTTGTTGCCAACGATTTCGTAAAACCATTACCACCGTCTATCCTGAAGATGAAGGCGGTACGGTCCTCCAAAACACGGAAGGCAACTACGGAAAAATTAATAATATACCTTACACAGTGAGATGATGATTAACTTAACTACAGCGATATGAAAGATATTTACTCACGAATTTTAATTTTTGTAAGGAATGTCGCTCTGTAAGGCAGTGAATGATCATAATTTGAGACTTCAGTATAGTTTCATGTCTGAGAAAGGCGTGCTGCTTGTTGCCTACTGTCGCCCATAAGCTGTATCTCGTGTCCCGTCCGCACAGCAGATGTTTTTAATGAGCAGGCAGAAACAAGAGCCCTCACACACTAACATCAAAGCAGAGACGCCGAAACCTGGAACAGAAATTCCTTCCCCAGCGCCGCCATCATCGTAATATCAACGACAAATGAGTTACAAAAAATTAATTACCCTTTGCGTTGTCTAAATGTACGGTCATTTGCGATTCCTTTGCTAATAAGAACGGACTCTTGTTTGGGAGGAAATTTCTGTCGAATAGCTGGTTTTCTTTAGCAAATACAATTTCTTAATTTTTATTGTTTAACTATTAATAGATGTTTGAAAATTACACTTATCTTTTATTGTATAACATCGCAACCCACGAATTAGCGAATCCTACCAAATGTTATTAATAACATTTACTTTGACGTATGAACACTCGAGCTAGGACATCGTACACCGTTCTTGCATTTTCATCGGGGCCAACAAATTGTAGCTCCTTGTTCGTCAGCCATCGCCACGTCTGGTCTGGCTTTTTTTTTGTCCAATGAACGTCCCGCACTTTGTGAATACTGGCATATTTTTCTTGGGGTCAAAGCGGCCGCAGTGTGAAGCTGACCACTCAATCGACACTCGCGCCCAAGGTCTAATATTATTGGTTGTTTACTGCATGAGAATTTGTACCGCCGAGACGTCTCTGTAATTTAACATTGCTTCAGAATTTTTAGATTTCGTACGTTTACTTGATTCTGATGTGTAGGATAGAGTGGAGAATGTCGACCTCTACGTCTGTTAACCTAACCTGAACCCGATCTGATAATTCACTCTTCTTTTCCCGCAGGGGACGAGATCTTGGCTGTGAACGGCGAAGCCCTCCAGGGGATGTCCCACGCCGAAGCCATCGGAACTTTCAAGCGTATCCGTTCTGGGCCCGTGGCGCTGCGTTTGGCAAGAAGGCCGGCGCTCAGGTACGTCGGGAGTTCTGTCGTTCGGTACAGCGTTTAGTAGCGATTTTACCTGAGATTGCGAACCAAGGCCGATGAATCGGACCGAGCCTGTTCACGGTTACGCTGCATTCAAATGTACTCATTGCCCTGATGATGGAGGCAGTAGGCACATCTTAATCGTAGGTCAGTTTTTACGGGATTGCACAGCGTAGCGTCCCAGAAGACTAACACTAAGAAACTTCAGATTTATGTAAATGGAAATATTATAATGAATGGTGTGTTTGTAATGACGTGGAACAAAGATGTCGTGGCCTATTTCAGTATTTGTTTTCTGGAAGAATCAATGAAAGAAAATTTCTGGTCGTGGTACCTGGTAATCCGATGAAGATTCAAACTGATTACCCGCAGATTAGAAGGCCAGAATGGTATTACAGTGTGTGGGATTCATATTGTGGCATCTAATGAAATTTAAAGTTGGAATTAGTGTACTGGGTTTGTGAACGTTGTTCATATTGTTCGAACAGAAGGCAATATTTCATAAAGTAGATCCGTTTCCGTCTTGTGGTGAGAAGGTCGTGAGGATTGAATTGTTTCCAGGTTAACAGCTGACGAACGAAGTTCAGTAACCCTTTTAATAAAACATCGTCAGAATAATATTGAAATTTATGACAGTTTCAGCTTTAAGTTAGTGAGGAATTAAATTAGATGATGCCAATTAATCACGTTTTGATCCAGTCATCTGTTTACGTGATAAATAAGAAACAGACTGAGGCACATTCATAGAAATTGTGAGGCACGCGGTGTTTAAACAGTGACTAACAGAATCTCCAGCGGTTCGCTGTGTTCTCATCATCAAGCGTTAATACCCTACGCAGTTTGCGAATGCCGATTTGTTATGTAACTGAACTTTCCTTCGTCACTTTTCTTAATTTTGTGAAGACCGATTAGTTATAACCGTTAACAAGCGATTCAGAATGTGATCTTCTGTGTTTTGACACAATATTTACGTTCATTTAAATTCTTTCCTGAACATGGAAGCAGTACAATACTCCGAAACGTCAGTAAAAACTTACAGTACGACATAGCGTAAAAATCTCCAGTCTTAATGTTTACCTCAAATCTTACAATTAATTAGACTAACTCCATGAAGCTGAATTCCTAATTAGAAGCTAATAGTCGCTCAGCTAGTAAAGAAATATCACGTCATTTATGAAACCAGGAAGTTCATTATCGGGTTCACTAGAGACCGCCACCGGTCTCTTCCTGAGTCACATGAATATAATCCACATATTCTAACCCTGTTTCCCTAAAATGCATTTTAATATTATCTTTTACTCTACGAGTAGGACCTCATATGTTGTGCGGGCAAGTTCAAAGTGTTATGATCCCATCTGTGATTGGCAGATTTTGTGAACAAATAGTTTTCACAGGAAATAATTGTACCCGAGACGTATAATTGTGATTAAGGCATTTTACACTTTGAATTATTCTATTTCTTTTACGGATTTCGTAGTTTCGCTTTTTCCGATCCCGGATTATTTAAAATATAATAAATTCTTTCTACGTTAAGCCGCCAGATATACACAAAATAATTCTGTTAAGCGCTGTCCATACAATCGAAACTAAGTGACCCAAGGATTTGGAATTAAGGACAAACTTCAGCCAGTTGGATATCTTGCTTTGCAAGGTGTTTAACGACGCTGTTTACATTGCAGACATAATGAATTAATAATCTCCAAATCATTGAGGTTTATCAACACTGGTAAAAACGTCGGTAATTGTCTTCTACGCAACAACGCCTTGTGGACTTGTTGATAGTTACCGACGTTTCGTAGGAACATATTGCCTCCAACTTCAGGGCTTGACACCCCTAGGTAGTCCACCTACAAGCCCAAATGACGTAGCTACCCAGAAAATTAACATCGACGAAGTGCCAGTGATTCGTGAACTTAGAATAAATTGTATTAGCTGTAATCTAGATATTTACAAGGAATTACTGAGGAATGTCGGGAAATATGCCATGAATACGTGGTACAGATTCTTACCCATTCAAAATTCATGGCGAGTCTGATTTCTGCATAAACTCTTAAGTGCACTTACAAGATATCACATAACCTTGGGTACATTTGATACGATGTGGTTAACTGAGCTGGGGATCTGTCGACCATAAATGTAGACCTGTGTGACTATTTTAAAGTCTGGACACAGGTTTTCAGGTTTAAAACGGAGGAACATGTCGCATCTATCTTCAGGGTGTCTCAATTACACGGAATCTGTGATAATATCGAATCTCGTACGATTTTTAATGGTGCGTGAAATTATAGTAGTTAATTTTTTAAAATGTTCTTCTTTTCAGACAACCGCGGTTGAAGTCTTCAGAAAGTATGGAATAAGGTCCCAGAGCCGAAATATCCATAGGAGAAGAGTAGTTAAGCTGAGAGCACACCTCGTAAAGGAATCTCTGCTTCGGCAGAGGAAACTGTTGTCTCTGTCAGAACGTTTTGTGCTGTCGTATCCTTTTTTCCTGTTTGAATTCTTTGTCAGGAGGCTCTGACATGCCTTACCTTCTTCTCCGGTAGAGCATCGTCAATTATTCTAGTCTTAACCAGTGCTTAATTTGTGACGGAACTGCGTCTAAGCTTAAAATGAGTTTTTAAGTCTCTAAAATGAAGTTTTTACGTAAAAATAAATACAGATAAAACCCTTTAAAAGACTTTTGCCCTTGTAGATTGCTCTCTTCTGGGTTATTGACAGGAGTTTACCGGCGTTTCGGAGGCCCTTGCTGCTTCCATCATCAGGGCGATCTGTCAGACTACACGGCGCAACAACCCAGAAGACAGCCATCTTCAGACTCACCGCCGTGGAAACCTCAAATCCTACACCCGCTCTCATATTTTGACGTAGGGTTATTTGGTAGATTCCAAATCAAAAATTAAGCATTGGTCTCAAAAAAGTCAATATAACAAAGTATCTCTTAGAAACCGGTATCTTAGACACACAGAAGATGATCTGGTGCAGATGAGATACAGATCTGTTTAACGTAGTGTAGATTAGCAGCCGCTGTCTAGGTATTGTGACGTAGAGAATTTGGTTAATTTTTAATTGGATGCAGGTATGTTAGCTGTAAACGTTTTTTTTTTTAAAAAAAATATATATGTACCAATAAATAATTGTGAATCTTATTTGTGTATGTACATTATATTTGTGCAATATTAAATGTTAATTAATTTTCTGTTATGATTATAAATATTTTTATTAATGTGTAATGTCGATAATTCCGTGTTGATTTTGGAATTAATTTCAGTATTTACAATAAAAAGACATGGAAAGTTGATCATCCAAGATGTTATTTTATATATTATCTCTGTTAGGATATCAGCGGTCGTCGTGAATGATGAATTCGTAAGAATTCGGAGTCACTTATAATCAGTGGCGGTTTCTTGTGGAAAACGTAAGTGAAAAATCCCGGGAATTTACATAAGTGACGCAGTTCGTTAATCCTACTGATGTGGTTTTAAATATTTAAGAGTGTACTCGGTTTCCATGGTAATTGGTATGGAACAGAGGCGAAAAAGATTGTATATGTTAGCTCCACTAGATTTACCCACCAGAGCAGTGTTGTCCGGCCGGTAACCTGAAATAGAAACATTTTCCGAAACTTAGATTTAACTTAAGAAAAATTTAAGGAACGCCTACACGAAGGATGCAGTCCAACAAAACATTTTTTCGTGTTACATGCTACGCCATAGTCAGAAATTTGCATGCGTCTCTCCTTTATTTGTATTTTAGTGCTATAATATAATTATTACAGAATGTCTGTAAATGATAATTATGATTTTTTAATCTTTTGTTTCTCAGAGAACGTTAAATACACAGTCGAAATATATATTTGCTTGTAAGATCAATTTAGAAAGTTTAAATATGGCGCCTAGGTTGAAGTATACTCTACATTTTACCGCTAGATGGTACTTCAATCGTCAGTATCGCCAAATGGCGTCCGGGCTTTGTGTCGGCTCGCGTGTGTTCATTTTTAACGTAACGAAATCTGTGCTGACGACAGCAATTCGGTTCAAGTACGGATGGATGCACAAGTATATCGTGGATTCTCTGTTGATATAAGTGTTTTGTGAACGATAGTTTTTGTCTGCAAAGGAGAATGGACCGGCAATCTTTCTGTAAGTGTTGAACATATTATGATATCTGAGTGTTTCATTTCAACGCAGTAAGCAGAAGTCTGTGTAGCGTGCTAGTAGGCAGTGTAACATTCCCAGAGCTTTGAAGACTAACCTGTTCGTAACTGTGTCCTTATCAGCCACTTTGTCGAGGAGAAAAGTTGTGTAGTTTCATGTTGTGCGTAACATGTGTACGTAGAACTTGTACAATCGAACGAAATGTCAAGACATTTATTTTGGGTATGTGAATTTGCCTAGTAAAACGCCACACCAACTGATTACGTTCATATATAGGTTGCCCAAAAAAACTAATACATACAAAAGCATAGCGTATACATATTTTTTGAGACAACATATATATTTTATGGTGTATATTTAAAAAAATATAGTTTTTGAAAGCTTCACCACAGACATCAAGATTATATCCAGATGTCTTGTTTATTAAAGTTTTTTTTAAGTAGATCGAAGCAGGAAATTTGTGTTTGTTCCAAGGTCGGTAATGGAAAATTTTGTTCGATTTGCAAATTTCCGTGATCCACCATTCCCTAACGTTTCGTGTCAGTGGATACACTCTGATCGAATGCTTTCTGGTAAACTAAATGTTCCGAAATTTCGTATAGTCACATTGTCTCTGCGCACTGTGGTACACGTTCTTTCTAGAAAAATACTAAAATCTCAATTCCCTGCGTATCGTTCATCACAGTGTTCACAAAAGCTAGCCTGGGTCTGTTTCATGCTGTGTTTTCAAGATTCTATGGTAATTATGCTTTGCGTTCAGGCCTGATTGAGCAGGTTAGCTAAAGCGGAAACACTTTTGAAGCATGTCGCATTTGACCATGCGTCCCTTACGACATTGAAACAGCGTCGTTCAATAAACCAAAATACAAAATTCTGACTCTGGTTAACTAAGCAATAAGACAAATTGTCGTGTACCAGTTAAAAAGTGATTTTCAGCAGGGACCATTAGTCGCCTTTCGGATCCCTGTCTTTACATTTTTACTTCCAGATTTCGTCTTAAGTTGTCAACTTAGTTGGCCCGTAGAACTGTGATGTTCGTGACTTTTATTCGGGAGGTAACCGGTTCGAATCTCTGCTCGGTTAATGACTATTCTGTCTGACGTTGGCGTGGTTTCCTTCTCTGAAATCATTGCAGGGATTTCACTCGAAATAGTTCACGACGATATCCTTTCAAATCCATAACAGTTCACCTCATTATTTTTTTTAGTACATTTGACGCTACAAAACTACTGAAGTCGAGGTAATGTCTTTAAATAACTTGCATATTTACGCACCATATATTAGGCATAATATTAATTTAGATCTTGTAGAATGACTCGAAGCCTTATAGACGTATTTTACGAGATAATTTATAGCGGAAAATGTAAACAAACTGTGCTCCAATTCTCCACCGTTTCAGTGTTACTACGTTTAAAGCGGTGCCTTGTTCGTGTGGCGGAGCCTTTGTGATGTCACGTGACGGTTCTAATTTCACTTGTCGCCTATAGTTAGCGTTACTTCCCACAGCAACGCAATGCTTCAAATCCCACGTCTCTCATGAATGGGCACAGAATCCTCATGGTACATGACATTCGGACTGTAATCGTAGGCGATTAATTGGACAGTTCGTAGTAGCGAATCTTTTATGTGGAATCCATTAGGCTAATGCCCTTGAAAGACCGCATTCCACATAACTACAAGATATACCGCTTAACATTTTGAAGCCCAGTGGTAAGTATATGTACCACCTGCTTCAACAATCAACAATTCTTCAATTTTTATTTATGTATTTCGTATGATTCTCAACGTAAACAGCGATCATTTCCTTAAACAGCGTTAGCCAGTTGATCTTTGTAATGGTGAAGAGTTGTGTTTACTTCGCGGTACGGACTGAATTCTTAAATACGTAATATTTAGACGAACTATGATCCTCGATGTTAACAGCGATTATTTTCTTAAACAGCGTTAACCAGTTGATCTTTGTAATGGTGAAGAGTTGTGTTTACTTCGCGGTACGGACTGAATTCTTAAATACGTAATATTTAGACGAACTATGATCCTCGATGTTAACAGCGATTATTTTCTTAAACAGCGTTAACCAGTTGATCTTTGTAATGGTGAAGAGTTGTGTTTACTTCGCGGTACGGACTGAATTCTTAAATACGTAATATTTAGACGAGCTTTCTTCTCAGAAATCGAAGTGTCCCTCACTTCCCCCCCACCAATTTCCTCTTTGCAAATTCTGTTCTTCCGCAGTCCTTCTTATCTCTCTCTTGCAAAGGGTTAATATTCGTGTTTTCAGCACCACGGCGTCCTGTCCACTGATTGGTTGAACCGCCATTTGTGGAAGTATGCACCTGTCTTGACGGTCTGGTCTTGTGACCTCGTCTATCTCATCTTGATCTGAACCCACTGCGTTTGGTTTGTGGCGATGTAGTAAAGAACATTTGTATGCCATTAAAGTACAAGATCCCGACGACCAGATTAGTAGCACCTGGAAGCCGTGGAAGACATTAGGGACCTAATCTTGACGACTGGTTCATGTGAGGGGTTGCTTTCGATGTCGCTCTGATGAAATACGTAAACTGTGTCCGAGTCCCCGTTACACGATAAGACGATGTGCAGTTCAAATTGATAACACTAATAAATTCTAAATATTTGCATTTAATCCATCGTAATTAAAAGTAATTAATATAGGTACTACATATAAATATCCGAATTTATATTTACAGGAACGTAGATATTTAATTTTATTTAAAAGTGGCAAAACATAACTCGATATTTATCTAACAAATTTTCTCCAAAAACACTTAATAATGTTTCACCGCAGGATTTTTAATCACCCTATACTCGCAAGTTACATGCTCTGGTGTCTGTAATATCAAAACAAGACCGTCCTCAAGTTATGACAATTACGAAATTCTTCCTTTGCACTCTCTAATACATAAAAACCTTTAAAGAGCTGCTTGTTCGGTTCTATTTAGAGTTAACAAACCATTCAGAGATTGTGGACCACATTTTATAGGGAAACTGTAAAGTCTGATGACGCGCGATACGTGCGTTAACCACGCCCACTCACGTCGCCATGACGACCACATGATAGGGGAAAAGCAGGTACACAAAGCTTTATATAAAAATCCAAGAAACGTTCGCAAATAACCTATAGAGGTAACAGGTCTATAATAACGAAAACATGGACAGTTCGTATAGGCACAAATTAATTTAAGAAGGGTTAACAAACTTTAGATTTTTAAAATACAAGATTGACAACATAATTCCTCGATACCAGATCCTCTTTTTGAGAATACAAAGCAAGTAGGACAGTCTCCACATTTCTTGCACTGTTATGGTGTGTTTGGGGAGCCCACTTTTATTATAAAATAATCCTAATATTATCTACTTTAATTCAAAATGTAGCATATTGACATTTACAACATTATAATATGTATCGGTCGAAGATTACATCGGATAGCATTTTCCTTGGGATTAAGTCACCTGTTCCTGGATAAAAGGAAAATAAGTCTTAAAAGTTGTGCAAACGAAGAGATATCCTTAAATATCAAACGCGCGTGTCATTTTAACAGGCAAATT